TTCACCATCTATACACATTGAGGCCCTTCTTTTAGGTTAAAATGATCTATCTTAAATTTGTCTTTCTTGAGTTTGGGACTATTATGTGTTTAAATAACTTAAAAAGGAAAAAACTAAAAGAGCCATAGAAAAAGCGCGCCAAGCGCACAAAATATTTTTGTGTTTTTAATTCTAATTTCGTCGGAATTGATGAAAACTCCCTAAAATGTGCAATTTATAGGGGAAATTGGCCTACCGTAACAAGAAATGCGCGCAAAGAATTTGAGAATTTTAGGCACTTTCAGAGGATGCATTTGTCAAGGGGTGGGGAAAGATTTTTCAAAGATGGATATTTTCCCCTTGTCCCCTGGTGTTTTTAATTATAATTTCGTTGGAATTGATAAAAACTCCCTAAAATGTGCAATTTTTAGAGGAAATTGGGCCATGTTAACAAGAAATGCGCGCGAAATTTGAGGTTTCTAGGCACTTTCAGGGGATGAAAGGGCATTTATAAAGGGGTGGGGAAGATCTTTCAAAGATAGATATTTTCCCCTTGTCCCCCAGTGGTTACGCCATCAGGCAGCATAGATCAAAGGAGTTATGACAGTTTTTGAAGTGGAGAAGGGGTTGCAGGGTGTTGTGAGTCTGGTCATTATGATATCTTCCTTTTTATTCTTGTCTTTATTTTTCTCTTCTCTTTTTCTTTCCTTTTTTTTCCCTCTTCTTTCTCTTTTCCTCCCTCTCCCCTCTTTCTTTTCTCTTATTACCCAGCCCGGTAAAAACCGTCAGGGGAGGGGCAGGGGAGGGAAGCATAACTGTGGAAAGTCCTTCCTTAAACGGTACTTAAGTTGATCAGTTCTGAAAAATATAAATTACATTATATTTAAATAAAATTCAAGTTAAAGTTTTGGCCTCAACACAAGAATATTTCATAGTTTTTTTGTATATTAAATTTACATCTTATTTACCAATTTGGCTATTAATTGCTTTTGCTAATAGTCTATTTACACATAATAATCTAACTATTTACTGCCATGGTTTCCTAATACTGCTATAAATAATTTCAACATTTCTAATTTTTTTTAAATTGTGTTTTGATTTCTTAATATTTCTTACCTGTAATTTGTCATTTCAAGCCCTTCATGCTTTTTAACAAATTTTGAAAACAACTGAAGTAACTTGGTCATCCTTAAAATCTCATGGTTCTTGATAATTCGTTGCTGGATGATTATCTCAAAGAAAATTTTGTACGACTTGTCATATTGGTGGTCCTCATCGGTTCTAAGCAGATAAATAAGGGCAAATTGTTAGATTTTCACTCCCATCCGCATCAAAGATTTGGGGAATATTGATGCAGGAAAAAATAAGATTTGGGGAATATTGATGCAGGAAAAAAAAAAAAAAACATTTTTTACCGCATTAATTATTTTAACAGCTTAAAAAAAACAATGCAATTTTGTGACTGGAAGTATACTTTCTTTAAAAACCAATATAATAAAATTACTTTTTACACAATATGTACAATATTCTTTGCCAAATATAAACAGACCCTCCCCAGCTAACAATATTACGTTATAAGAACGTTATAACTTTACAGTTCAATTGGTGATAAAAATGTTATTTTATAGAACCATTATGTACATACTTACAACCTCATTTCACAACCTCACAACGTTTAAATGTTCTTACAACGTTGTGTGAAGTTTATTTTGTGACATACCTAACCACAACATTCACGAACGTTATAAGAATGTTTTGTGTTTGCTGGGTCCCTCATCAATAAAAAAAAAACAACATTCTATTGTTCTGATTAAAAAAATTTAAAAAAAACCACCCGCCCTCATCACTTTTTTTCAGAAAAAAGACTGTTAATTTTTTCTATGTCTTCTAATAGAAAAAATTTGATGGGAATTATAGTAACTTCATACTTACATTTTAGCATCAACTTTTCTGGTTAAAAAGCGAGTGTACTGCTTGTAGCAAGAACGATGATAGTGCACCTCAATAGCTAAACAGTCCTTGTCTCTTTATGTGTATTAAGACACTCTCATCTGACTTTGCTTCCGCAGCTTTACGTAACAGTCCTATATGAACTATAAAATATTACCGTTACATTTGCCAAGTAGATTAGTATTTTTTATATTGATATTATTATAATTATTATTATATTATTGTTAATGAATATTTCAATAACTCACTCACAAAAAAACGACTGTTCGTTCAGACACAGTCACTATATGTCTGAGGGTCATTGATTAGCTTAGGCAAGCATGCATAAATTACTGCTGAAGGCACTGCACAAGGACAAGGTCAGTCTCTGCTTGGTAAAGCTTGTCTTTTTGACGTTTGTGGTTAAGCGTAATGTAGCGGTCACGATTTTTACAAATCAGACAAATAGCTGGTAAAACTGATTGACTAGGCCTGGACGACCTTGTTTGGGTACCACCACCAGACGACAGGCCACCTAGGCCTATGGGATTATGACCGTGGCTGCTGCAAGGCCCGCACTTGATCGTAATTTTTTCGGAGATTATGGAAGCATTTCTTCTTCGCAACTATCACTGGAAGATATCTTATTTGCACATCTTTTCACAGCAGAACAGAACTGATTCGTTTCCTATCAATGAATAAATCTCCTATAACATGTAGGGTGAAACCTTACGTTCTGTAGGTTTTTCAAAAAACTACCTTCAAATAAGTGCCTTGATGTTTCCACAAGGCTACGGTCAAAACCATCTAAATTTTGCCATTCCTTGGCACATTCTGATATTCTTTTCCAGCGTATGTCTGTCATGGGCTGAATGTATTCTGATGATACTGAATCTAAATGTACAATACATCTTAATTCTTGTGAATATCGTTTCCTTCTTTTCTTCGTCTTCGACTGCTTACGCTCTGCCATGTTGGTTTGTTATTGTGTAAATAGCTGAAGCGTGAAGAAATCCTTCCTCGCTTATTGGTTAAGCCAGGTCACATGCCTCTGAAACCCCTC